TCCCGGGCATCCTCCGGCCGTCTGGACGGCCTTACCTCTCCTTCCCCGGGCGGAGATGCAACCAGACCCCCAGGACCCGCCGCGAGGGGTCGGGGTCCACCCGTGGAGTCTGGAGCCGTGGGCCGGCACCCAGCTCGGGAGGGAGTGGGGAAGCGAAAGCCTGGAGTCGGAACCTCGGCGCTGCCCCAGCTCACGGTGTGACCTTGGACAAGTCCCTTCCCCTCTCTGGCCTCAGGTGACCTGTTTGTCCAAGGGGGTCCTAAGACTCGCTACTCGCAGTAGTTAAGATGACTAGTTATGTTGAAAGTGCCAATGGGAAGAGAGAGAATTCTTAGGGCACCCTGGCGTGAGGCCCAAGAGTCCCATTTGAAGTCTGAGTGTCTATGTTTGAGACTCTGCATCTCCAGTTAGTAATTGTGTGGACTTGGGCAAATTAATCTCTGAACCTTTTCTTTATCTGTAAAATGGGTTAATGAATCACTGTGGAAATCCGATGAGACAAAGCCAAGTAGCGCGTGCCACATAGTACTAAGTACCCAGCAAGCTATAATGAGCCTTGTGGGGTGGTTTGGGCAACCAGGAGATGACTTTGAGGCAGGTAGGATTTAGGTGTGTGGAGCGCCAGCTCATATGGGTATTCCTACCACTGTTGACATCCTCCCACCCTTCCGCTCAGTGCAAGGGAGGTAGTGTGGACTTCTGAAGTAGCCCTGGTGGGGTCTAGTCTGTAGAAGAAGGCGGGGTCTAGTCTGTAGAAGAAGGCTGAGGTTATGGTCTTGCTTCCTACTTGGGTCTTGTTGACCCTTCCACAAGAAAAAGGGTATCTTATGTCTTTTGGGAAATGCTTAAAGCATAACTATTTACAAGTATATGATTAAGAAGGACTTTTCAGGGGGCGGCCAGTTAGCTCAGTTGGTTAGAGCGTAGTGCTCATAACACCAAGGTTGCCAGTTCGATCCCCACATGGGCTACTGAGTTGTGCCCTCCACAGCTAGATTGAAACAACTACTTGACTTGGAGCTGATGGGTCCTGGAAAAACACACTGTTCCCCAATAAAATATAAAAAAATAAATAAAAAATAAAAAGAAGCACTCTTCAGGAACATTATCTCATTTAATCTTCACGTAGACTTTGCCAAGTAGGTGGTGATGTTATCTCCATTTCACAGATGAGGAACCTGAGGCTCAGAAAGGTGAATGACTTGTCTCAAGAATCTTATACTTGTTAAGTGGTGGAGCTGGACACATTTCCAGGTAAACCCTGTGTTTTCTTCCCCATACCCTGTTGTCTCTGGTTTCTCAACTGTAGCTGTTACCAAGCCACAAGGGTATTCTTTTGTTACTCTAACTGCTATGGCTAGAGGCTTGTCTGCCAGTGGCAGGGAAATAAGATCTTACATAAAGCTTCATTTAAATAGATACCATCCAAAGTATGGACCTCAAAAAGAGCTGGAATTTTTAAGAGGGGTATTCTCTGGCCCTCAGTCCCCTTCTCTTTAAAACGAGAGGAGCAGGCTAGATGATATCTGAAGGCCCTTTCAGGGCTGGTGTGCAATTCTGATTGCATGCTTGCGGTTTGAAAGCATGGAATCAGGCTGCCTGGGTTCAAATCTTGGCTCTGCTACTTCCAAATTGCATGCCACTGAGCAATTTACTTCACCTCTTTGTGCTGCAGTTTCCTCATCTGTAAAATGGGGATAATAGTAGTATCCACCATGTCTGGCTGTTGTAAGGATATATTTGAGACTAATACGGGTAAAGTGCCTCGCGATTTTGGTAAATGTTAGCTGTTGTTGTTTAGTACATAGCACCTGTACTGTACTTTATGTTCTATTTATAGTGAATGGATACAATATTTGCCAATAATAGCAGGTCTGTCAACCTCAAGGTCACTGTAGCTGTCACAGTATTATATAAATGTCAGTATTATTACAAGGTTGTCCCAGGAACCTGCCATTCCATGCCAGATTGGGTTCAGAAGAAGATGAAAGCTGATGGTAGGATGCCATCATGGTTTGGTAGCTTGACTTCCAACTCAGGAAATGATTACTCAATCCCTCTGTGCCAAGCACAGTGGACGCTGTTTAGATTAGCCCCAGCTCCCTATCCCTCAAGGACCTTCAAGCTTAATTTGCATATGACTAGCATTTGAAATGATTTGAGATCTTTGAATGAATTCATATCTTGTATTTGCGCCCACTGCAGAATAAAGCCACTGATTCAGATCCCATCTTTTGTGTCCCTAGGCTTCAGTCGGGTGCCTGGGTCAGAAGCCTAGGTTTCTCTCTCAGCCCTTTCATCCACTGACGCATGGGTCCCTGAGAAAGAGCCTTCTCTTGTGTTGGTTAATAATACAATACTCTCTTTATGGTGCCTGATGGTTTACAAAGATGCTTAAATGTTCCTTCACTCATTTGGTCTTATTAATAACCCTGCAGTGAGGGGAAGGTGCCGATTGGGGCCTCCATTTTACAGTTGAGAGACCTGAGGTAAGAGAAGCCATGCTGCTGGGACATGGCCCATTTCACATTGGAATCCAGGTCTTTGGACTCCAAGTTCAGTGCCCCTGCCCCTATGCTTCCTCAGTTCATTTAGTCAATATTTGCTGAGCATCTGACATGTATCAGGCTCTGTTCTCGCCTGGGGATGTGATGGTAGTGAGGCGGATGAGGTCCTCGCTGTCATGCAGCTTACATTCTAGTGACAGCAACAGAAAAAATAAATCAATAAATGAAAATGGGGATGGGAATAAGTACTGTGAAAACAATACAACAGTGATGTCATAGAGAGTAACTTCTTGAAGGGATTGGGGGGGGCTGATACTTTAATTGGGTGGTCAGAGAAGACCTCTCGAAGGTGGTAACATTTTTGCTGAGATTCGCTGCCCAAAAGGACCCAGCCATTTGAAAATGTGGCAGAAGGAACAGCAAGGGTAAAAAGGCTCTGAGGCGGGAGCAAGCTTGGTAAGTTCCAGGAGCTGAAAGAAGGTTCAGAGTGGCTGGAGCAGGGGAGCCTGAGAGAGGATAGGGGAGATTGGAGAGGAGGGCCAAAGTGAGGTGTGGGGGTGAGGACTCAGATCATACAGGGGCCTCGTAGGCTAGAGTAAGCAGTCTGGATTTTATTCTGAAAAACAATGGGAAGCCGTTGAGGGCTTTAAGAAAGAGCTGGTGACGTGTTCTATTTTTTGTTTTTTTAAAATATCACTTTGGCTTCTATGTGGACAAGGAATTTCAGGGGGCATGAGAATGGCAGCCAGGAGAGTAGCTAGGAGGCTAGGTGAGAAATGATGGTGGCCTTCTAGGGTGGTGGCAGTGGAGATGGTATAAGAGTAGTATGTGTTTTGGAGGTGGAACCAGCAGGGCTGTGGTTGGGGGGATGAGCTAAAGGAATCCAAGATGACTCCTGGGTTTTTGGCCTAAGCAATTAGGTAGATGTTGGTGGCGCCATCTGCCTCTAAAATTATGAGAGAACTCTTTGGTAAGGTGCCCTGTGAGGAAGAATTAGCTATGATTCACTCTGAACCCCTGGAGGAGAGATGCAGATCCCAGATTATGTTGCAGGAAGACAGCCAGGTGCTTCTAATGGAAGCCTCCACCTTGGACACCCATAAGCCATGCGTGTATCGCCGTCTGGCTCTATGCCAGCTTGTGGAGTGGCAGGTGTGGGCTTTGCCAGGTCAGTGTCCATCTGTCTCGCGTTGTTGGCATTGCTGCCCTGATTTGAGATCTTGGCTGATGAAGACTGGAAAGAGGCTGGCCAGCTCTGGGAGAGAGAATGGAATCGCTAGAGAAACTCACTCGCAGTGCATCAAATGGCTACACTCTCCCTGCCAAAGTGGCTCTTTCCTTGGCCATCGAATGACATTTCTAAAGTTTCAGAGCTTTTGATTTGGGCATCCCTTGAAAAGCTGTTGTATGTTCTGCCAGAATTCCTAGAGGATGTTTGAATGGAGTACCTCTTCTGAGCAAGGGAATTCGAGCTTTCTTTTCACACATACTAATAATTGCACATTGTAAATTTAGGCTTTACAATGTTGTAAATTCAACATTGTGAATAGTAAGACTAACAATCCTACCACCTCCGCTTGTATAGCTTTGTTTGCAGTTTAGAATGCTCTTTCGTCTGCATTTTCATTTATTAATGTTCAGTCATTTCAGATCATATATTGGGTTGTCGGAAAAGTCCTGACGCATTTTTGCAACGGAAAACATATGCCATGACGTTTCTGACAACCCAATAGAATATATATTATCCCCAGTTTACAGAGGAAGCATTGAGATGCTAGAGGTCATTCATTTATTTTTTTATTTTTATTTACTTTTTTTAAGCTGAGCCATCCTGCCACCTGTTGGCAGCTCAGCAGCTGCTCAGCTCGGGCCGGGAATTGAACCGCTGTCGCTCAGAGCTCAAACTCTTGAGCGAGCTCTTAACCAACTGAGCCACTCGGCCAGCCCTAAAGGTCATTCATTTTTGTCAACCATGTGACGCCACCTGCTAGGTGCTGGGTTAGGGTAGATCCTTGCTGCTCAGAGTGTGTTCTGCATGACAGAGGCACCCATGTGCCCTGGGAGCTGTTTGAAATGCAGACTCTAAGCCTAGATTGAATAAGCCAAGTCTGCATTTTACCAAGACCCCTGGGCATTTCCTGTGCACATTAAAGCTTGAGATACACTCATTTGGTAATAAGTAGCAAAACTAGGGCTTGCCAATGATAGTGGTTGAGCCAAGCACTGTTCTAAGCACTTTACACATGTTGTCTCGTTTAGTCTTCACAGCAGCAACCCTGTAACATAGGTCCTGTTATGATTCCCACTTTCCAGAAGAGGAAAGTAGAGGCACAGCAAGGTCAAATAACCTCCCCATGTCTGCTGACCCCAAGTCCATTGCTCTTTCTGCCACCCACTTGTTCATCTGTTTTGCAGGTGGGCAGTACATCCCTGATGCCTTGTCCAAGGCCTTTCTCTTCTGTACCTGGGTAACTAAGTGCTGATGAAAAAACTCACTTCAAAGAATGTTTGAAGAACTCAGGGGGAAAACCCTTGAGCTCTTTTAACATAACTCTGGGTGTCAGTTATTTGACTGATAGACAACAAACAGATATCCGATTTGTGAGATAGGCCACCTCTCACACTTTTTAGCGGTTGGGCAGAAACAGCTGAAGCAGGTAGGAACTGTGAGCTTGTCTTCTGAGTCATTCAGCCCCGAACTGTTTCTTGATTCTGGTGATAATATCTACACCAGGTGAGAAGAGGGTGGCTAAAGTCCCATACCACCCGCTGACTAATTGCGAAAGGTTCAATTTTATGGTGGCTCGGTTCTCCCTCTCTGCCCCGTGGGCTCATTATTTTCCTTTCAACATCTCCTTATCTCCCCAGAGTCTTAGAAAGATTTCTTGGTCAAGGCCTAAGCCATCCAGGAAATTCTGATGTGAAAAGCCAGTGGGATCTGGATGGAGGTATGAATTCTAGTAGCAAGCCTGCCACTTGCTGGGTGACCTGGGGCAAGTAACTCAACCTCCTTTCTAGCCCTTGTCTCTATATATGCAAAATAAGGATGTGGGACAGTCTTCCAAGCTCTTTCAGTCCTGCTCAAAAGACTGAGCTTTTTAAAAAAAATTTTATTGGGAAATAGTGTGTTTTTCCAGGACCCAACAGCTCCAACAGTTTGCGAGCATAATTCGTTCTGGAAACAAACTACTTGTATTGCAAGGCATCGCTTGTTTACCACGTTAAAATGTATTAGAAATGTTTGCTTGTCTTGCGGAACACTCGCAAACCACATTACTCGCAAGCCAAGGTTTTACTGTAGTTGTTTCAATCTAGTTGTGGAGGGCGCACCTCAGTGGCCCATGTGGGAATCCATCCAGCAACCTTGGTGTTATGAGCACTGCACCCTGCGCTCTAACCACCTGAGCCAACTGGCTGTCCCCCGAAAGACTGAGTTTGAGTTGGGTGATATATTCTTCTTCCTTGGTGATTTTATGCTGGGCTTTCTCGCAGACCTTCAGGGATGGGGCTTTTGGAGCATATTTCTTGGCCGTCTGAGATCATTACAATCAGCTCATCGTAACAGCATCACACATCTGCACTGCAGCTTGGAATGATGTTTGAGTTTAAGGCTCAGTTAATCATGGTGACACATGGGGTCTCCTCACTTTGTCACACTGATTGCAGACATCGAGTTCTTTACACATAGGCGAATCTATCTTTAGCATGCTGATTTATTGAAATCATAGTTTGCATTAAAGAGCACCA